GAAGCCCACCCCTGTCCCTACCACCACGGCAAGAAGCACCCCCAGGAACTGAGGATGAGGAGGGAAAAGTTTGCTACTTCTTACCCTGCTTTTAATTCCCAGTGCATATTATTTTTTTCCCCATCGATAGCTTGCTGCAAATTCCCAAAGCTGAGCCAGCAAGAAACAGCCTTTCTATTAAAACCTAACTAAACCAAACTTTCTCCTCTGGTCATCTAATCCCAACTAATCACAGATTCCAGCGGAAGTAGTCGTCTCCTTTTATTATTCCTGCTTTTATTATTGTGACAATTTTAAGGTCTTTGGTTGAGATACAGAGCCAGGATGGGAGGGGTAAAAACAAAACCCAGGCTGGTCTGGGTCTCAGTGGAGTTTATAATCTGAATTTGGCCACCTGCAATACCATCTGCCAGGCTTTGAGGTCCAACACGGAGTTGAACTCATCTGAAATCTGGGCTACCGCAGAAATGACAAATTAATAGCAGCCCCGTGCAGGCTCAGAAAATGAAATCAGCAAACTGGGGATGACAGGGACCAGCACACGTATTCAGTTAATAACACGCTTGCCTCCGTGGGTGAGGCAGAGCATCGGGAGGGCCCCGGGCGAGGACAAGGCACCAGCTGCCTTCCTCCCACCCAGGCACCCTGCACCCCAACCCAGCGAAGGGATCGGGTCCCTATCCCCCTCCAACCCATCGTCCCCAAGCCGAGCGGCCTCATGATTGAATGGTAGACGTGGGTGATTTTCGATTGTGGTGTTTGTCTGCTGACGCCAGCAAGGAGGAGGAGGAAGAGGAGGAGGAGGGAGACAGCTAAACCTGTCCTCCTTGCAAAAAAGCCTCCTCATCTCCTTTCCGCCAAAAGCCTAGGGGTGAAACAAGGCGTGCGTGACCCCACCACGTAGGTGTCCGTCTGTCAGCAGGGCCCTGCGTAATGCCTTCTCAACATCTTGCCCAATTCAATTAAGATTTGACGCATCAAAGGCACTTTCAGTTCATACAGGCTCCTTGGAGGGCACGCAGCCAGGGGGAGGAAAAGGAGCCTTCCCCACACCTGCTCAGCACGGTCAGACATCAGAGAAGCCAAG